CATCATTACAGAGCAGGACGAGGCTCTTTCATGTGGACGCACGCTCAGAGATCTCAAACTACACACACTGAGCGCTTTACAGCCATTCGGGTGAAACGGATACAGAACAGGGTTTCACTCCAAATCATGAGTCGAAATAGGAAATCATTTGAGAACATCAGTCAGCGTGCTGGACGATTCTGTGCAAGAAACATGACGTCTCTAAGTGACGATCCAACCATCCATCCATCATCAGAGACATTAAACATCGTCATTTTTGGTAGTAAGTCCATAACCCATCATAACTAAATCACTGCAGCTGAATGAAACACGGCCTCCATCTGCTGGAGTGACGGGATACAGTCACAAACACTCTTCTTCTGGTTCTGACTAATGCATTAAATATAAGAAAAACTAACTCAACAATGTATTAAATGATGTTCCCCTTCTGCTCTGCCCGCGTCACTATGAAGGTCATGGAAAATATCAAATAGTTTTAACATCAAAAATTCACAATTGTTGAGAAATAAATTCAAAATTACTTTTTGAATAAAAAAAACCACTTACACACACTTGCACACACACACAAACACACACACACACACACACTCACTCACTGATTGAGACTAATTAGGATCAGTTTTCTGAAGCTTTATTGCTGCTGTATTAATAGAGAACATTCAGTACATGTTGATGATGTGAGTGAGTGAGTGAGTGAGTGAGTGAGTGAGTGTGTTTCCTCTCAGTTTCTGTCCAGCATCTTCAGTCACAGCTGAGTGTTTGAGCTTCATTCACAGACAGACGCTCTTTCTTCTGAACAGACGCAGACATTCACAGACAAGGCAGTGATTGTGCTCGTCACCAAACAATGACATATTTCTGTTTCTCTCTGAATTCCTGCATATCATTTCTGCTCGGGGAGTAATTTGTCTGTCATACAGGCCGAGACTCTCCCTCCATTACTCTGACGGCTCTTATTAGCCGAAAGCTGAGCCAGCGCTCCATGAATTTAGCCACTGTTCCGCAGGCTCCCCTCAGTAATTAATTTGATAAATATATTAATTATGAATCGGGCGATCAGATGGTCGTGCATCCAGCTCTGATAAGTGGCTTTGTTACGGCCGCTCTGGTTTCATCGGCTCTTATCGTGGCTCTCCGCTAACGGCTCGTTTCCTGCGAGCTGTAATTAAACGCAGAGGATTCTGATTGCGAGAGCCTTGTTTAGAGGCCGTCTCTGGGGTTGCGTCCCGATCAATCCAAAAACAGGACAACACTCCTCTAGAAAGATCCAAACTGAGCATCTAACACTCGAGAAGTTCTGCTTTCACAGAGAGTAACTCTATGAGCTAAACCAACTGCAGAGACAGAGAACTTGGCCATCTGTCCTCATGGTGATGATGATGATGATGATGATGAAGGTCAGAGGACACATTTACTGACTCCTTTCAGCTTCAAACTGGAGCTTTTGTTTCTGTCGAGCGTCTCACTCCAAACGCTGGAATGAATAATATTCAGATGCTTGTGCTGAATCCTGAAGCTCCTGGGATCCTCCATGATCCCAAAACAAACCTCCTCATTTGAGGATACAGCATGACGCTCCGTAACTCTTGTAGACGGTGGCGCGTGAGTTCTGCTCACAGCAGTGCCGACAGGAGCCTCTATCTCCGATCTGAGCTCAGATCCTGTTGCAGGACTGGCAGACGCTCAAGCGGAGATCTTCACTCCACAGCTCATCATTACAGAGCAGGACGAGGCTCTTTCATGTGGACGCACGCTCAGAGATCTCAAACTACACACACTGAGCGCTTTACAGCCATTCGGGTGAAACGGATACAGAACAGGGTTTCACTCCAAATCATGAGTCGAAATAGGAAATCATTTGAGAACATCAGTCAGCGTGCTGGACGATTCTGTGCAAGAAACATGACGTCTCTAAGTGACGATCCAACCATCCATCCATCATCAGAGACATTAAACATCGTCATTTTTGGTAGTAAGTCCATAACCCATCATAACTAAATCACTGCAGCTGAATGAAACACGGCCTCCATCTGCTGGAGTGACGGGATACAGTCACAAACACTCTTCTTCTGGTTCTGACTAATGCATTAAATATAAGAAAAACTAACTCAACAATGTATTAAATGATGTTCCCCTTCTGCTCTGCCCGCGTCACTATGAAGGTCATGGAAAATATCAAATAGTTTTAACATCAAAAATTCACAATTGTTGAGAAATAAATTCAAAATTACTTTTTGAATAAAAAAAACCACTTACACACACTTGCACACACACACAAACACACACACACACACACACTCACTCACTGATTGAGACTAATTAGGATCAGTTTTCTGAAGCTTTATTGCTGCTGTATTAATAGAGAACATTCAGTACATGTTGATGATAGTATTTGTTGAGAATATTCATTACATTCTCAAAAATGACATGGAATTTTCAATCAAACATTTCAAATAATATTTTGAAGGAAGTTGATGATCTTGTGGAGATGTTACAGCATTAAAAAAACGATCAGCAGACACTGAGATAAGGCTTTTATCCAAACAAACATTTAATCTGTTCATTCAGATGCAGGGAATCGAACCCGTGACCCTGTGGTTGCAAGCATCTGCTCCACTGCTTTACATGGAACAGAAACTGTTCAAGAAATGATCTAATGTGTGCGTTTAAGAATGAGTTACTTCAAAGTTAATGGGAGAAATGAATTCATTATTGCTCTAAATATTGTGAGTCTATAAGCTTATAACGTACATCACAGAGCAGAGCTGGACTCACATCCCATCCACTCGCTAATGAACTATTAGGAAAGATGGAAAAATTATCTGATTCAGCAGAAATATATTAAAGCCAAAAAACATCAAAGAACAGAAGATGATATGAAACTATAAAATATTCTCTTGAAAAACAGCTCCTGTACACAATACAGGTGATTATTAGTGAACATCAGACGCTTGTGTCCAGGAAAGAATCTCTCATGAGGAGGATCAGTCGCACACAATCACACACACACACACACACACACACACACACACACACACACACACCAACACCCACACACAACATCCGCCACCCACCTACTCCCACACA